GGATCGAGTTTGGACTCTTGGCTTTGTTCAAACACAGGTTATTGCAGCCATTTGGGGAGTACACTACTGGACTGAAAATCTCTCCTTATCTCTGTCACTCTGCCTTTCAAATAAATCTTTTTTTGTTTGTGTGTTTTTAAAACAGGATTTAACAATTACAGACATTTTTCCAGATTTGCTTTATTTCCTTCAATGAAATATTTTTATGTGAACCCCATCTGTAGCATTTCACTCCTATATTAGTAATCTTAAGAAACAAAAGCAAATTCTTAAACACAAAGTTAAAATAAAGTCAATGGAAATCAACGGTTTCTTGGAATAGCTGTCACTAATCAAATATTCCCAATTTCCTGAAAAAGTTCTTTTACAATAATTTTGTTCAAATTGAGATCCAAAGAAAATCCACAAAAACATTATTTCTCAAAGTTTTCCTTCCATCATTCTTTCCTATCTCTGATTGCTGAAGAATCTCATTTGTAATTTTATACACAATTTACACATCTTAATTTTACTGTACTAAGGTTATGCAACTATCACCACTATGTAATTCCAGAACATTCTCTTCAGGCCAGAAGGAAATCCCACACATATCAGCAGCTGTTTCTCATGACCACTCCCAGTGCCTGGCTATATTAAGCTACTTTCTTTCTTGCTGGATTTTCCTATCCTGGATGACACATGTAAACAGAACCAGAAACAGGTTATTTTGATGTCTGATCAGATTAGATAAACAGATCTTTGTTAGATACCAAAGATACCTATGACATGGACCTTGCATTGAACAGTCAAAATAAACATTCATTCAATAAACAAAAATATGTTGTCATTCTCATTCTGAATAGCACCTCAGGCATGCTTCCAGCTCATGATTTATCTTTCCCTCACAAACACATATACAACAAATATTCTTCACGCGTGCCACTAGCTACTCATGTATGACAAGAGATTCAATTTTTTTTTTTGTTGGCCACAGTTTTGAAAATAACTGGTGGTAAACCAAAATGCTAGCACATTATGTTGGTCACATACATACATTAGGCTCAGTGCCTGACCTATTATCTCCTACTTTCTCTTCGATAGGCATACCAGAACACAAATTTAAAAAATAAAAACAAAGCCTTGACTATTTCTTGTCAATGCCTCGCTTAAAGCAGACAATGGGTGTTGGCTCAGACTTCAGATCCTCACCCTTCCCCAGGATCAGAATGCACAGGTCACCCAAGCATTTAACACACACACCTTCTGGAAAATGACTCTGAGTTTGTGCTTCCCTTCATATCAAAGAGAGAAACTACTAAGTATGACTACTTCATAGGTTAACTACAAAGCTGTTAAGCTCATCTGCTTACTCAACACTAGCCCAAGGGCAACAATCATAACTATTCTCTAACTCTCATTACCCAGTCACTGTGACATTTCAGAACTGAAACAGTCACTTCAGTGTGGAACTTCTAGCCCATATAAAAGCGCCTACAGGAAAGGAGTTCCTACAGAGAAACAGCCACATTCTCCATATCGTGGCACAGTGACCTCTAACGGCACTAACAACTTCAACATTAAGGATGCACTGTGGTATTGCAGCGTAAAGTTACCATCTGCAATGCCAGATACTAGACAGGCAAAAGTTTGTGTCTCAGTTGCTGCACTTCGAGTTCAGTTCCCTGCTAATGGCCTGGGAAAAACAGAAGATGGCTGAAGTGTTTGGGCCCCTGCAACCAACTTGGGAGACATGGATGGAGTTCCAGGCTCCTGGCTTCAGTCCAGATCAGTGCAAGACATTGTAATCATTTGGGGAGTGAACCACTAGATGTAAAATCTGTTTCCCTATTTCTCTGTAACTCTTTCAAATAAATAAATAACTACTTAAAAAAATTAATACAAGTCCACAAAGAGGGGAGCTGCTAATGAATCCTGCTCACGTACGGACGAAAGGAAAGTTTAGCCATGCAGAGGGCTTAGAAATGATTACCTGGGGCCAGGTACCAATTGCCCTTTGCTTATGAGCTCTCTTCTCTCTCCTAATCTGTTATACTGTGGATTTTCACAGCCTTGGACCTCTGCCATCTGCGTGACTGTCTCTTTTTTTTTTACACTAATTATCCTTCCTACTTTTTTATTGCTGTCACTATAAAGTCATTTTACTTAAAACAAAAGCTTTATATATTTAAAAATGAAGTCTCAAGGAAGGAGTTAAACATAAGCATATTTTCTTTTCCCTAACAGTCATGTAGCCAGTTAGCTCCTCTTCAGTTTTGATCCACTATTAGGGTTCACACATACAGCACAAAAACTAGGGAGATTTAGCGCCACCCTACTACTGCTACAGTTCAGGAACTAAAGGAAAGAAACACGCGGAGTGCTTTAGAGGCTTGTGAGAAGGCAACAGGAACCCTGAACACACGCAGAGAGGAACCTCCCACCCCAGCTCTCCACACAGTTTGTCCCCAGAACAGCAACCCAAGGAAGCTGTGCTAGAAGGATTACAAACTCTTCTACCATCTTTACAGTGGCAGAAAGTTGGCAAGGGAGTAACCATGAAGTTCGCGACACAAACTAAACAGACTTACTAATCTGGACAGAGATCCTCCTGAGGATACCATACCTGGCCTGCACCTAGTACTGCACCCAAGCGCTGAAGGTCATATTAGGCACAATGAAACACACACCACTGCAAAGAATGAGGCTGTGACGTATACCTGAGGACTAGTAGACTTACTGAGACGCATGTGTGCAATCCTATTTGCTTTTTAAAAGCAAAAACAGGAACAGAAAACCTGGGAGATGGCTCAGGGCTGAAACTGAGACCTATCTGGTGCCTTGGATGCAGTGCTAGACAACATCAAGTCCTGCTGCCCAAACTCGTGGCCTGCCTCGCTTAGCTGAAGGTTTCCTGAAGTTGCTTCTGTGATTGCAAATCATTCACTTATTAAAATTAGCTCACTGCATAGTTCTGACCCTACAGGGCCCCTGAACATGACTCAGGAGGTCATTTATCTCTCTTATGAAAATTATCTTTGACATTCAGGCTTGTCTTGAGAGATGCCTTTTTGTGAAACCACAGGCCTCACACTAAAGTTAACTGCCACTTTTGAGTAGCTCCTAGACTGCTCTAGGCCACTTCACCATCATCAAAATTCCCTCCAGAACACAGCACTGCTGACCAAGAGAAGAAATACTTTGATCATTATGAAACAACCAAGGATCTGGATGTGGGCTGAACACACACCTTTCAAACAGAATAAAGGCATATGAACCTTGACCACTAACCCCTCTGCAAGTCCAGGAGTTAAGCAACAGTTACGTGACTCCTTGTCGTGCACTCTGCAAAATATCTACCTACTTCCACCTCCAGGGTTGCTTTTTTAAGCTACACATGTGGTGAATAGACCTAGTTTGGGCAGTCCTAGGAAAATTCCTCCAAACACTTTTGGTAGAAGTCTACAGCATTCTTATCAATGGATCTTGAGAGGGGAGAACTGAATGACAGAGACAAAGCAAAGGAGATATCCCTCTAAATTTGTTATGAGTTAATGCTAAATTAAACACCTGGGCAAGAGTTCACACCTGAAATGATGCTATCAGCCTAAGTGACATTCCTTTACAAAACAATTCATCTTCTTGTGCACATATACATCAATGTACATGTCTAAGAAAGCCAGTTATATTAGGACCTGCACTACTCCAGCAGGCTAAGCTGATATAAAAGACAGTAAGCAAAACAGATCATTTGAATTTAGTTTGGCCATTTAAGCAGATTCACAGGAAAGCTGACTGTAATACATTCGAAAAAAAATTTTAATAATGCAAGAGTAAAACAAATATTTTCTAGCTCTCCTGATGATAGGGAACAGAAAGAGAATCACAAAAACAAAATCTATGCATTCCCTAGAAAAAAAGGCCCATGGCATTTATAAGAAATCTGGTTCTCTTCTTTACTTTTTTGATAAAAAAATTGCCATATCTCAGACCTGGTTGGACAGAAAGGAACCCACCGGCATGTACGTGGGCTGCTTAGTGGAGCTGGTTGGGTTGAACTAGGCTTCAATGCCCATGGACATGTATGAGAGCTGAATTTGATATGTGACAGACTGGACTAGTCTGCTGTACATACTGGCATGCATGGGGAGCAGGGCAGTGGGTGGACCTGGGAGGGTAACTGAGGGTCACTCTGACTAGGCTGCAGCTCCCACTGGTTTGTGTGAGGGCCAAGTGTGTGCTGGGCAGAATAGAATCAGGCTGGACTGCAACACGCATCAGTTCCAGGGGAAGACAGGGCTGGAAACAGAAGCGACCCAGCAATTGCAGCCACCAGCTGACTGGACCGATGGACTGTGCTGGGTCCTGTACTTGCAAGTACACACAAGAATCTGGTCTGGGATCACCTCAGACAAAGTTTCTTTGGGGATCTCCCCAATCGAACTGCGAGACTCAGAACCCTAACCATGAAGAGAAATGCAGGCTCTATGATCTGTCATGGAGTACAAGTGTCAGAGTCAAACCTCCTCAGAGGCTCAGACAGAGCAGTGGAAAGCATATCCAGGTACACATGGAGGATATGGCAGTCCACTGGAAGCAACAGAGGACACCTGGTACCATAACAGAGGATGGAGGACAGAACAAGTTGATCAACTACCCCTGCCAATCAATGGCAGCGAAAAAATCTGGGCAAATGGAGACTCTAAGGTGGACTATGTCAGACAGCGGATTCTGCAGCAATTTCATCGTGCTTGGAATGGCAAGACTGGCAGCAATTCATAACTGTTGAACCGTCAAAACCACCTGAGCAAGACCCTCAAAGCATGCCCCACCCTGGGGACCTGGGATGGGTGGGAGGCTGGATGGGGCTACTCCCTTTATCTCCTCCTTTGCCCCAGATACAGGTAAAAAGAGAATGTGGAAATAATAGTCTTACCCACTTTTCTGTAACCCTTGACCATTTGGGCCCTAATTAACCATGTAAAGATTGTCAAAAATAAAGGAAAAGAATTGCCATTTCTTACCTGATCACAAATCAATTCCCATTTTTTCTCATTGTCATATTGCCGCAGTAACCTGGCTTTGTCAGGAGGTAGGTTCATAGCATTCTATTAAAAAAAAAGAGAGAGAGAGCAAGATCAGTCACATTCCACAATAGGCAGCCAATGACTAACAACAGGCAGATTAACAGAACAGGATTGCAGCTCTTTTATTATCTACTTTCCCTTAGTAGGCAGTATCCTGTACCAAATCACCCTGCAAAAATAATTCAAAGCGAACTGATTTAATGAGAGGAGGTAAATGAAGGTTGTTTGTTGAGACAGATGAGGTCATAAATTTCGAGCAATCAGGCCTACATTTTCATAGAGAGGATGATGCCGTTTCCCTTCATTTAACAGTGGGCTCATCTTCTACCACTCTCAGGGTCTGAACAAGTTGATCACAGAGGATTTCCTCAGCATTGCAGTGCAGGTTAAGCTGCAGACTGAGACACAAACTCAATCTGAGAGCCTAGGATCATTTCCTCCTCTGCTTCTGATCTGACTTCCCGCTAATGTGCACTCTGGGACGCAGGCAGGCAGCACTGAAAGATCTGGTTAGAATTCTTGACTCTTGGCTTCAGCTTGGGCCAGATTACTCATTCCAGAAAACTTGGGTAGTGAACCAGTAGACAGAAGATTTTTCTCTCTCTCCCTGTCACTCTGTTTTTCATATAAACAAAATTTTAAAAATAACAAATGGATTGGCCCTATTTCTCTGAAAATATTTTAGCACTACCAGGCACACAAGCAACAACTCTCAAGAAAAACTCAGCAGCCAAAACGACTGACATATAATATCAATTTTCCTAGCTTTGATAAACAACCACAAGTAAAATAATGCACTTAAAAATAAACATGACAATGATATAATTTTCCCTCTACGAGCTGGTATCATTCCTTCAAGATATATGCTAGCGTGCGCAACCATTTCTCTTAGCTTATTCTTAGCTGGTTTATGAAGCTGAGTTTGCACTGGGAAAATGAGCACAAGCTTATCACAAAATGTCTAGACAAAAGCACTCAAGAACCACCTATTAGCACACCTTCTGCAGGGTTAGTCATGGGTCTGCCTAAGTATTTCATGTGTTAATGAGTGCAACAAATCAAGAGCAAACATACACATTTTTTAAGATCCTTAGCTTTGTTTCGAAGACGAGATCTTCGGTGATAGAATATGACAGGGTAAGAAGAGTTCCAGAAAGAAGATCTGTTGCCTTGACCTCTGCCAAGTTTCTATGTTCTAAACAACTGAGCTAAGTAGTCAACTCATGTATTACAACTACTAATGGTTCTTTCTGTTCCCTAGCATCAGCATTCCAAACTGTACCTAACCCTATTCAATAAGGCAGTTCCTTGTCTGGGTCAGTATTGAGACATGGCAATATATACATTGAAGGCTCAAGTCCCAAATCTTAAAGATTTGGCTTAAAGAGAAATGATTCCCCTTAGCATGGTTGCTATTTCATGCTACAGAAAGAAACAAATTTAATAGAAAAAGAAAGGGCTAGGTGGGTGGGATATTCTGGCTTAATGCATAAATCAAGTTTAATGATTTGGATAAATTTAATCCACTCACTTTTCCCTTCAACTCAATGCAGCATTCAGACTGGCATGACTGGCATATATACTATCAATTTTAATTTATCCCAGGTTTTGGAATGTCTTAAAGATATTTAATGTTTAAATTAATCCCAAAAATGACATCATTGCTTGAAGAGTTTTAGACTTGTGTTTTTAATGTTAACGCCAAGGTTTCTTAGATATAGAAGCATCTAAAATAGAAAAATGTTTTAATACGGCCTATCTCCACATAATAGCCCCTTGATCCAAAATAGCAAATGTCTACTTCTATGTAGTACATATCACACTTTAATGACAATAAGCAACAATTGGGATAAGGCACAATTCCATGTGAATCAATGCAGGTTACTATTCAGTAAAAAGTTTATCACTGTTTATAATCTAGAGATTAATTTTTTCCTCTTAAACTGGTTTTGAACTTACCTGAACCCCTCTAGGGATATGACTATTCATTAAGCAAAACAAGATTACAAGATAAATATAAGCCTTTTTTTATTTTTTTACTTCAGATATAAAAGAAATAAGAAAGCCTGGAACTCCTGCAACATGCAAACATACCATTAGGTATTTTGCATGTGTGATTTCACTTGATCTTCCATATAGTTAAGTATGTGGGATAATAATACACAATATAGTACGCAAACATGTGGGAGGACCTAGTTAGCTTATTCAAGGTTGCAAAGCTTTAAAAGAATAAGAACAAGATGTAAAATAATCTGTTACATGTTCAAGGGCAAACTTTGAGTGTACAAAAACCAAGTCCGATTTTTCTTTGCTTTGTTTTGCAGCAAAAACAAATGACAAATAATTTATGATCTTCTGTAAGTGCTCTACTACACACTCCCAGGAGCACACTCAGCAAGCATGGCTTCAAGCATTAGATGCTAGCTATATAGATGTTTGTGAAGCATATAACATCCTCCTGAAAAGAAACTTGAAGCACAATAAATGAATGATGAATGAATAAATAAATAAATAAATAAGGAAACATAATAAAGGAATGCATTGGGGAGAATTTCACTCAAGATTCCAGATCAGATCTATAGGCCATCTAGGTGAAGCTGGAGAAAGGTTGTCTTCTCAAGAAAAAGAAGTATTTTTTTCCCCCAAAAGGAGAAGAAATCAGCTACATGAGGAGTATATCAAAGCATATAAGGCTGAAGAAAATAAGAGAAGATTCTAAGGCAATTAGACAGTGCTGGGCTCATTAAAGAAAGCCAGCAGAGCTGGAAAGAAAATAGAAAGAGGAAAGAAGCAATGAAGTTGGAAAAATGAATCAAAACCCATAGTTTGGGGCCCGGCACGGTGGCGCAAGTGGTTAAAGGTCCTCGCCTTGCACGCCCGGGATCCCATATGGGCGCCGGTTCTAATCCCGGCAGCCCCGCTTCCCTTCCAGCTCCCTGCCTGTGGCCTGGGAAAGCAGTCGAGGACGGCCCAAAGCTTTGGGAACCTGCACCCGCGTGGGAGACCCGGAAGAGGCTCCTGGCTTTGGATCGGCATAGTATGGACCCGTTGCGCTCACTTGGGGAGTGAATCATTGGACGGAAGATCTTCCTCTCTGTCTCTCCTCTCTGTATATCCGCCTTTCCAATGAAAAAATAATAAAAATAAAATCTAAAAAAAAAAAAACAAACCAGGGCCCGGCGCGGTGGCGCAAGTGGTTAAAGGTCCTCGCCTTGCACGCCCGGGATCCCATATGGGCGCCGGTTCTAATCCCAGCAGCCCCGCTTCCCTTCCAGCTCCCTGCCTGTGGCCTGGGAAAGCAGTCGAGGACGGCCCAAAGCTTTGGGACCCTGCACCCGTGTGGGAGACCCAGAAGAGGCTCCTGGCTTCGGATCGGCATAGTATCGACCCGTTGTGCTCACTTGGGGAGTGAATCATCCGATGGAAGATCTTCCTCTCTCTCTCTCCTCTCTATATATCCGCCTTTCCAATGAAAAAATAATAAAAATAAATCTTTAAAAAAAAAAAAAAAACCATAGTTTGCCCAGATGCTCAGTTAAGTGTCAATGTCTTTTTGATTTGCCTAAAGTGCAACTGGAAAACCACTGAGAAGGTTTCAGCAGGGCAACAGCACAAACAAATTGCTTTTACAAAGAGCACCACATGTGCTCCATGGAACACTGATCAGAAATAGTGGAAGCAGAAGCAGGGAGGCCAACTATGAGACCATGACAAGAGCACATGTAAGCAATGGTGACTTAGATGGAGCCAACTGCACACTGAATAGAGAAAAAATGAACAGGACAGTCAAACTAATCCATTAGATTCAAGGACTGAAAACCAATGTGATTGAGAGCATCTTGTTTCTACCTCAAGTCACAAGATGAATGATAGGGCCTTAATAAAAAGCAATAGAAATAATAGCAACACAAAATGGAGAAGGTGGCAAGGAGTGAGGTTTGTAAACGTTCATGATGGGTTCTGAGATGGTTCTGAGACATCCAGGGAAAATAGTCAAATGAACAATTAGAAGCATGACTGAGAAAGGACAAGAAGACCTTTTTCAAAGTCTTTCAGGGCCTGATAATTATTCACAGGCATAAGAAGCTGCTCAACACAAATATTCCACAACTAAAACCACTCTTAGTCATTATTTACTCAAGCCACTCCACTAGTGCTGTCCATGATTCAAGCCCCCAAGGTGCTCAGACATACCTTGTATGGGTTAATAATTCTGCAACACCATGAGGATGAAGTTGTATTTAAAATCAGCCACTTCATAGTGACTTCACTAACATTCAGGCATGTTGTGATTAGCTGGTAATAACTTCTGCAGAATGAACTCACTCCTCCTGTGCTTTGCAGGGCAGGACTGCAGAGTACAAGCTAAATGTTTGCGCAGGTCATTCTTTCAAAGCCTAACATACTTCCTCAAAAAAAAAAAAAATACCAGCTCTATCCTTAGGTTCTACTGTTGTATGTACAAAAATGAACTACTCTCTAAATTGCTTGGAAATGTCAATCAATTTCCAAGTTTTCTTAGAAAACTTGACTCAATAACAACTCATTTTCACCTGCATTCAGTGTTGCCAGTGATATGGGACTTTCCTTAGGTCCTTTCACCCTCCGATTCATTCAACATGTAAAGGCTTTTGACCCAATGCCAGAATATCAGCCAAAACGCACACGAGCAAATTTAATCAAGTTGTGGCATGCAAGTAAGTTCATGTCAAAGATATCCAGAAGACAGCCGAGTTAAAGTTTAGTGCATATTAATTGTTTGCTGGATCATACAAGTTCTTAGCCAAACACATTAGATCATCCAGGAGTATTCTTTAAGGAATGCTTCTTTCCCTTCACTCACAACTTGGCAAATTTTACCGTAAGTTGCTTCGGTATTATTTATTGTTAACACCGTTCCCTCAACTACTCGGACATACTGTCTCACCCATGTCAGCACCTGGCATGCTGTAGCCTAATAACCTACTTGTCAACCAAGAGTCCCTAATGAGCTAAATCTTCAAGGACAGTATTTCCCCCAT